TATAAAACTAAAATATAAAAACTGGCACAAGTAACATCCCCTAAAATGCCAAAACTTGAAACTGAATGTGTGTTACAAACCTTTGATTCTGGGTAAGAAATTTCTAATGAAGCTGTCTACTAGCTCAGTTGTCCTTAACTGTTTGCGTTATGATAACACATGTAACAAAATATACTTCATAAGTTAGATACACAGTTAATTTTTTTCAGCAGACATGTTTACCATGAAACAGAAATCAAGTAAAATTCTGTGAACTGAAATATACCAGTACGTCTTTTAATTTTGCTTAATATTCTGTATATTACTTAAAATATTCAAACTTATTATTTAAACTGGTTTGAGTTTTTTAGTGTATCTGATTCTAGTATATGTATGCCACCACTGACACAAAGGAAAGCGGCCATAACCAACAACAGGGTAGGTTATTACTACATAGAATACAGTACCTGAAATAGTGGCAGAACTGACTTTGTCTGTTTATATATATGTTTATAAGCATGCTGAGGCCTTTGTCCAACAGTGGAACACTATAGGCTCTAAATGATGATGATGAAATGATGATGATGATATATATATATATATATATATATATATATATATATATATATAATCACTTACCTTACAACAAACATTCAGAGCTAAATCGATGAGCTGGATATATTGAGGAACCTAAGCCTGACAACAGTCTGAAGTGGTTCAACTTCAACAAAAAAATGCACATTTTAAGGACGACCAGCTGCCTTCTGAGATGTAACTAAACATCTTTATTGGTAAAACGGATATGCAAATGTATTGTCCTTTCATAAACAAAAGTGATATAAAATATCAACCAAAACTTTATCTCCTTCAGATATTCCAGTCCACGTTATTCTGACCAAGGTGGACCAGATATCCCCGGATGTACCGAGGACCCATCTTTGGTATTTCACAGTCCTGTTATTGAAAAGAAAGTGAAAGAAATCAGTGACACATTCGGTATACAGAGTAATCACGTCCAACCCGTGAAGAACTACGAGTCCGAGACCTCCATTGACCCCAGAGTGGACATCCTGACACTGAACGCCCTCAGGCAGATGACCGGAAGTGCCGAGGACTACATTGAGGACCATGCTTCATTCAATTTTTTCTCTTGGTTATTCATAACCTGGAATAGGATTGGCCTTATCAACATTCTGTCTTTTCTGTTCTTAGTCGTTGTTTCTGTCTATTATATCGTAACCCGATGAAGAAATCATCCTTTACCTGACATTTTCACAATTTGCCCATATCCTCAAAAATTCAAAGTGTATCACGTTTTTTTCATCTCAAAATAAATCTTCAGTTTCCGGACCCCCCCTTTTTTTTCACAGGTTTGATCAATTCCTTCCTGTCCTCTTTCCTGGGAAGCTCAAAATTAGATTCATTTATATATAATTTGAATATTTTTCCTATCCGCTTATTTAGGTCACTTAAAAGCCTTTGTTATACAGGGTCTATAACTTTTGTAGAATGCATTTTGGCTCACTCTAAAATAGTGAATATAATATAGCAAAAAAAAAAAGACTCCGTATCATTAATGATGTAAAGGTTTAGTGACGTTATGGAATACTGTAAAACCCTCAGTATTTTAAGGGGGGGGGGGACAAGTTGAGAGGGGACCAAAAATGTTTTCAAGCGGTCTTCTGCTGGTTTTATAATTGAAGGAGTGTGCCAGAATTTATGCACATTTTTGCAAGATAGAAGATCAAACTCTTAAGGGAGATGAAGGCATTAAGAAATTTGAAAAGAATTATTTATAAACCAGATTAACTACTTTCCAATAATATATGAATGAACAGGTTTGTTATGTAACCCGGCGCTTCATATCAATTTATGACAAGTAAAGAGAATATTTGTCATATTTTGTTCCCATTCGTTTTTGTATAATAGTGTACTTTATAAAAGTTATTATATCCCACAATAATCCGTGACCCATCTCAACTAATAATGCCAGACTTGAGTTTTGTTCATATATACACGTTGCCTCATCATTTCGTGCATTAAGCATGAGAAAACATCATATAGTCCGTCTTCTTTCTTTTTTAGCCTTCAGCACTAGTTTTGAAAGGCTAGGGTCTATCTACTATTTTTTTGGCTTAATGTGACACAGTAAAAGATTCATTTTTTAGCGTTCATAGCTTCTGTCATCGAATATTCATCTTACTTTGCTATGGTCAAGGACACACACATATAGTCTTTTATACATGTAAATGATACAGAATGTTCATTTCACATGTACGTAGACGTAGCTTATAATTTCACAAATTATTCATCACCACAGCCGTTAATAGTGCGACCTTCTGTTATCTAGATCAGACAGTTGGACGAATGGTTATTTACACAGACATTGACCGTGTGTTTAGACGCGGTTGTGCCTCCTAACTATCGTCTTCCTAATAATACCTGTTATCTAGACTTAAAGAGATATATTTTTTTGCCTCCGTATACCCGCATTACTGGTAGCATTTGCTTTCTCTCTGTCACAAGAAAACAACCTGGCCTGCGACAGTGGATGAAAATGGGTCAGTGCGAATTTCATTTATTTATTTTTTCTATTTATCAGTTTATTAAGTTCACCTCTAGGATAATATATTGTAAATATTGTAATTGTATTTTTATTTCACTTTTGATAAAGTTATGATTGAATTGATGTTTCTTAATTTTGATTATGAGATTCCGTTAATCATACATCTCAAAGGAATATTTTACGCGTTCTTGTTTGATAAATAAGATTCGATGATTAAACAAATTCTCGTGTGCGGGATCAGGTCTGAGCAATTATATAAACACATCCTTAACCACAATGCCTATGATTTCAGCTTCAACGACGATATTTGGCGAGTGCAGTCTACCGACGAACATCCCGCCGTATTCGCCTGCCGGTGTGGCCCCGTTTTGTGGTGGATCGAATCTTGGGCGCTGCACCTACAATCCATTCTTTTTGCTCTTTACGACCTCGGCGTTCCGCTGCCTGTGTCCTTCTGGCACCGTGTCAGCATATGTGACTGCTGCGTAATGGTTAACCAAAAATCCGTTGACATTACTAGTCGAAATGTACATTCAGTTTAGCAATCTTGTGTTAGGCATACAAATAAGTGTATCAATACGTAAGTAACCAGCAACTGAGAATCTCAAACGATCAGATAGTTGGTATGTGAATGATACATTTAAATTATTAAATATATATTTAGATATTAAAATGTTTTTATTGTTAAATGATTGTTTTAATTGGTGAATATAATTAGTGGACCTCTACTTTGGTTAATTGGCTCATCTATATGCTGGTTTAACTAAATTTTTATTTTATTTTTTGATTTTTCTTTTCAGTTCCACCGTTGTCAAGCACCAGTTTTGAAGATACCGTCCTTCCACAGGCACTTCAGCGGGATCTCTGGAGAAGTCTGTTAATTCCAAATTACTCCGGGGTAGCTTTCAATCCGGCTGATATAAATACCTTCTATTCTGTCAACACTTTGGGGAACTTAGTCCCGACATGAACATCGCCCCCTTCCGACTAGAAGGCAATGAAAAACGCGGGGATTGAAAACCTTCATCGCGGATTATACCCTTCAAATAATGCAGGCTTCACCTCTTCTGCGGTACGTCTTATAATCCACACAGAAATAGGAGCTTGTGTTTGTCATCCTGGGAATTATGTTCCGTTAGTGAACTAATCTGTTATGTCGCTATTGTTGTGCTTAATATATGAATGTATACTGTATTCATATGGTGACCTTATAAAGGGAGCAAGGTGAATACCTTTTCCCCCTCTGGACTCCTTCATCCACCTACCCCAATACCGTTCCTTGAAATGACCTTCCTACACGACGTGGTGATGGTAGTGTGCTGTTCAGATACCTAGCGTCGGGAAGCATTTATTGCGTTTTTGTTTGCTTATCCATATATTGTTGTCACCATATACATTTATTTTCCTAAAATCAAATTATATCTGCAATCTATAGTAAGCTTTAGAAATTACAAATAAAGATTTTGTCATCTGAAACATGATGCGAATCAAACTCCACTTCACATAAACCCCCTTGGCTCCGACAGTCACTACTCCACAGTCGTATTTACCTTGCTCACGTCACAGCGGAACACTGGGTATATACTGCCTTCATTTAGTATGTATATTTATTCCGATGAGGCATCCACCCTACTGTGCAATCTGCAGTAAATATCAGTTCATGAACTTTCATCATCTAAGATACGTCCATTACAGTTGTTGATGACACATAATTATTTCTCATATGATTTTTAAATTACCTCGTTAATGCAGTTAATGAAATGTTCTTATCTTTGTCGAGTTAAAGGAAGAAGGATATGTTATATATCACATACATATACGTGTACTGTATATATACCTGGCAGACAAAATTGCATGTTGTTTTAAGAAGTTATATGGTACAGCCATACTGTTATATGTCACATAAATCCACCCAACAATCAATAACTTGACCGAATTACTAGTACATAATTGGCATAATTGTATTATAGAGTATAATGCAATAATGAACTTTACCACTCACCATACTAACGAACTTTTCTAAGTTTCTTCCAAGCGAGTGTTGACTTTTATAACGTTTAGAAGAAGCAAACGTTTAATCGAGGATTAAAAAAAGACTGCTTAATTTTATCTCTTTTTATAGTAAACGCAATAAATTTAACAAAAGGTTTTAGACTTTCCTTTATATTATGTTTTCTGGTGTTATCTTATTTTCATTTATTTGATCATTGACAAACCGGAGATGTTAAAACAACGTCCGTTTTATGTGTGTTTTGCTATATATTGAATGGTTGAATAAATTATTATTATTATTATTATTATTATTATTATTATTATTATTATTTCAACAATATTAAACATTAAATTTAATATCAAAAATTTAATATTAAAATAGACACTACACACAGAATTGTAGAAATGATTCATTTGTATGCACGTACCCGTAGTTTAAGCTCTAATCATTACCACCCCCGTTAATGCCACCTGTTATCTAGCTCAGATAACTGCCCTTCTCGACCTCAAAGTTAGACGTGTGGTCATTTACGCAGAGATAATCTGTGTTTAATCTTGTCATCTGGACTCAAAGAGTTGATTTTCTGTCACTACACACATTTCCGGCAGCATTTGTGTCTCCCCCTTTGCAAGAGAACGACTTAACCTGCGACAGTGAATGACGATGGGTAAGTACACTAGTTCCAATAACTTTGTTTTAGGTTCACTGCATTAAGTTCAATTTAAAGACAAAATACTTCTTTTATGTCTTTATATGAAAATATATAGTTGCAGTGATATTTCACACTTTAAGTTACTTTTTGAAGTGTCGTTTTTGATATGTCTGAAATCAATATTTTACACAAAATTATGCTTTTAAAATGACTTACGAAAAGTGCTTTCTCGTAACCAGATAGCAACATTTAAATTAACATGCCCTCATATGTGAACGGACTCGTGACTTAGTTTATGTTAACACAACATTAACCAAACTGTCTATGATTTCAGCTTCCACTACGGTATTTGGCGAGTGCAGTCTGCCAGCGAACGTCCAGCCCTATTCGTCATCCCTTTCGGTCCCGAACTGTGAATCTTTTGCGCGTTGTACTTACAATCCATTCTTTTTACTCTTTACTGCCTCGGCGTTCCGCTGCCTGTGTGTTCCTGGTAGTGTGCCAACATATGTAACTGCCAACAACGTGACTTGTACCGAAAGTGAGTACATTTCCGTATTTGTCTCTCCGTGAATTAACGGTTTAGATATATTTTTCAAATTTATGGTGACGAATGCTTAACGGCCAGAGGTACTGAAGAGCTGTGGAATTCTTGTCTAGGATTACGCGGAATGAAACCAATCAAAACCTTGTCCTAAGTTTATTCAATAGATTTAGTTTGAGTTCCTTTGAAACGTGAGTGGCACTTAATTATGACAGTGCCATAGCTTAAGCCGAAACTTATCAAGACCAGAACAATGAAACAACAACCGTTTCACAATAATTTTTTTTCATTTTATTAACGTCCGCAAAGAGATACATATGTACGGTAAAGTTAAATAACTTGTTAAATAATAATAAATATGCACATGATGACAAATATTTGAAATGTCAGTAATTGCGCTCATATTATACCTAGCCCGTTAGAATATTATAAACACATGCTTGGGCTCTTGTATTTCAAAATTGTTAGACAAAAAACTGACATGTTATCAGCTTTGTGTAGTCATGTGATAAAGGTGATGTCACAATTGCAGAACTGCATGTATAGTAAGATGAACGCGGTGTTAAAGGTTAAAGGTACAATGTATACATTGTTTTTTTTTAGGGGGAGGGGGTGAAATTTGAATACAACGCAAAGATACCTTCTATGAAAGTATTTCGTTCACAAAGTTAAAATTTCTTCATTGGTTTGAATATTGGAAACTATGTTTAGCTTTTTTAGACATGGCTGTATAACCGACACGAATGAAATTAAACTATTCATATTACAAAAAGCGTCAAATTCACGTATAACTAAAACCGGGATTATTATATGATAATTATGTGAACCATTTTGGATATTGCACATACGTACCCCACTGATTAAGTGTTAACATTTCCAGCATTACATGACGCACTGAAGTGATGCTCCAACTTTTTTCATTAGCATTGAAAGCACTCGTCATAGCCTCAGCAGGCAGGTTTGCACTCTCGAATTGCTCTCAATTTTTATCTGTAGTTATGTGAACATCATTATCTGATTTTGCGTGTTTCAGTCAGGGGAACACCGTGTCAGACTAATTATGACTGCAACTCAAGGACAACGGATTGTCTGGGCATCAGTATGGCCAACCCAACATTCTTTGGAAATTCTGGCACCCAAACACCATTCTCATCGGATTCGTTGACATTGTTGGCTGTAAGTATATTCTTAATTGAGCACACTGTTGTTGTAAAACAGCTAAAAGTAAACAACAATAAGTAGACAAAGAGCGTGAATCCGTGGTGTTAATTTGTAGTAATTGATGAGTGTAATTGCACTTCGCCATTCACATTTTCATATTGAAAAGGCATAACCCTGCAAGATATATTTATTTATATTGCATTCAGATTTTATCAGAGCACAATGGAAAAGTTACACAAATAAACTGAGAAATTAATAGATGTGATACATCACATTTCTAATGATTTCCTTGATTAATTGTAAAAAGCGTTAGATGGTGAGATATATAAAATCTTATAAGGAAAGAACCTACAAAGTTTTTTTGGTAGGGGCAGAAAGAAATTCATAAACTGACGAAGGGGCATGTGTTTCAAGCTTTCATGGTAAATTATAAAAACGCGACTGAATTACATTTTTTCCGAAATAATGAGGTAATACGCATGTCTTCTTTAACCTTCGAGATAATCTCGAATCTAAATAAACTAGTCATTAAGCACTGGGTTTTCACAATGCAAATAATCATTATTCGTTTATTTATTTTTTTATTTGTTTGCCAGCCCCTGGTATCAGTTATATGTAGCTTCAACGACAGGAACATAGTGGATGTAACCAAGTTATATTTCTGTTTTGGAGCAACCTCATCCACGTTGGGCCAATGTGCTGAACTAGGTGGTACCAGTAAGTGTTTGGATTGCAATGTATTACCTGGTATTGTAGTATGGAGAGAGAGAGAGAGAGAGAGAGAGAGAGAGAGAGAGAGGAGAAACAGAGAAGGAGATTAGTAGGCTCTTCTTTCATGAATGATCCACCATATTTGATACGCGGATCAGAAGATCCGAGTATCATCTATTGTGAATGACCTCAATTATATTTTTGCATGCAAAAACAAAAGACAGACAACGGTAATTAAGCAACCTTTCTATTTCATTCATGACTCTAGAGTGAAACTCTAGAGCATGGTCTGACCAGTCGTTAAATATCCACGACTCGGTGGAGAGGTTTAGCAAACGACGGACAACGAAGACGAAGGACGAACATGTGCACTATGTCATCACTTTACGCTCATCATAACCTCATTTTTCGTAGTTCGTCCTTTCAATGAAGGAAGATTTTATGAATTCTTCGTAAAAAAAGGTAGTACGAATTGAGTCCGTTCACACATTGACACACGTTTGATACGCGTTAAATCACGTTTACTGGTAAATGAACATAAGTTTCTTTGCATGATTGTTTGATCGTAGGCCTAAGGGAAAGTGGATATCAAATCTACTGTTACAAATTGATCATTTTTTTCTCACCCTGCTCTGTTGTTATCGTATTCGTACTTTGTCTTCGAAACGGCACTCATAACTAGCGATCACTATCTGACAACTGCTTCGTGAAACGGGCCCCAGGGAGTTAAAACACTGAAAACCTTCCTATTAACGTCGCTTTAAAAGTAGTTCATAAGAGACTACCAAACACCCAATTTAGAAACTACCAATAGAATTGAGACCGGCGGTTCATGTGACTACTTATTTTATTTGTTACTAATTATAACAGCTTGTCTGTGGAATTTGACAAAGAAAATATCGAATGAAAGTTCGAACTGTAATAAATATAAATCTGGAAGAGAGCAACTTGTGTGTATTTATTGGATTTTACCGCCATTTAATTATGATTTTCATTTCTTTCAGTTCCACCGGTGACAAATATCAATTACGAAGATATTGTCTTCCCACAGGCACTTCAGAGGGATCTCTGGAGAAGTCTGTTAATTCCAAGGTACCCCGGGGTGACATTCAACCCGAATGATATTACTACCTACTTTTCAACATCCACTCTGGACAACATTGTTCCGGTGTAACGAAATTGTCGGTCCACGTAACAGAAAGTCCGCCCTCCATTTTGTAAGGTTAGGGTCACCTTGCGTAGGTGGGTCAAAATCTATTTCGAGACTTACCTCAAATGAATGGGAGACATACTCTCTGAAATGAAAAACTTTTTTGCCAATAATTTCTATCAGAGAGCGTGGTCATGACATAGAAATAGGAGCGTGTGTCTTTCATCTTGGAAATGATGTTCTGTTAATGAAATAATCTGTTATGTAATTAAAGTTGCTGTAATATTATTAACTTGGTATTTATTCCCCATTTGCAATTAATTTGTACCCGTCACAATAGAACACACACATATGTATATATGTATATCGCGTCTATTAATAATGTTTCATGCCAATAAGGCAAACATTACACATGCATTATAGATGTTGATGGTATATAATTATTCAAAATGAATTTGTTACTTTACCTTGTAGTGAAAAAATGTACCTATCTCTGTCGAGGTAAAGGAAATAGAATACATTATTTAGCATATTAATGTCCAGGATAAGCATAGATGTACATGTTAATGTAAGATGCATTCAGATAGTCCTGCGCTGTAATATATATGCAATTAATGCTGGGACCATTAGTTTTAACATTACTAGGATTTAAATGTATCATCTACACAGCTTTAAATAACTTTAATGTAATTACATAAATGCTATAACCACGTATTGTTTGAGCAACACATAATAACTTTGTCTGCTGGTTTAGAGTGAAACCGGAAAATGGTACGTTTAATATTTTAGTAAATAAACTAAGCTATCACTGGCAGATGGACAATTGTATTTTAGTAAATAAACTAAGCTATCACTGGCAGATGGACAATTGTATTTTAGTAAATAAACTAAGCTATCACTGGCAGATGGTCAATTGTATTTTAGTAAATAAACTAAGCTATCACTGGCAGATGGTCAATTGCTTGGTTTTCATCTCAAGGTAAATATTTAGTGTATCTTCCCCACCCGCGGGGGATTCATTGAGAGTTTAAATGAAATGTTTCTCCATAATCTTGTAGATTGATATCAAAGAGTGCGTCTTATAATTTCAATTCAATTTCAATTTCAATCCAAATTATTTCTTTACTGGTACATAGATTATAATGACCTTGTACAGTATAATATACTAAAGACAATACAATCGGTGCTTTACCATTTCTCTGGTTGGTACTTGTGATGCCAGTTTGTGAATTAACAAATATAAAAAAAGTTGTGTGTTATTCTGTATAAGATACGATGCATTCTTTTTTTATGGTCAACACTCGCTTTTTAGAACTGATCTGCGTGTTTTATGTACGCCGAGCGCGATAAAACAAAATATTATAGGTAATATAATAACAATATTTTCCTGATCAACACATTAATTCATGGGAATAATGATAAAAGTTTNAATTCAATTTCAATTTCAATTTCAATCCAAATTATTTCTTTTTCACAATTTGCCCCAATCCTCAAAAATTCAAAGTGTATCACGTTTTTTTCTTCTCAAAATAAATCTTCAGTTTCCGGACCCCCCCTTTTTTGCACAGGTTTGATCAATTCCTTCCTGTCCTCTTTCCTGGGAAGCTCAAAATTATATTCATTTATATATAATTTGAATATCTTTCCTATACGCTTATTTAGGTCACTTAAAAGCCTTTGTTATACAGGGTCTATCACTTTTGTAGAATGCATTTTGGCTCACTCTAAAATAGTGAATATAATATAGCAAAAAAAAAAAAAAAGATTCCGTATCATTAATGATGTAAAGGTTTAGTGACGTTATGGAATACTGTAAAACCCTCAGTTTTTTAAGGACCGGGGGGGGGGGGGGCAAGTTGAGAGGGGACCAAAAATGTTTTCAAGCGGTCTTCTGCTGGTTTTATAATTGAGGGAGTGTGCCAGAATTTATGCAAATTTTTGCAAGATAGAAGATCAAACTCTTAAGGGAGATGAAGGTATTAAGAAATTTGAAAAGAATTATTTATAAACCAGATTAACTACTTTCCAATAATATATGAATGAACAGGTTTGTTATGTAATCCGGCGCTTCATATCAATTTATGACAAGTAAAGAGAATATTTGTCATATTTTGTTCCCATTCGTTTTTGTATAATAGTGTACTTTATCAAAGTCATTATATCCCACAATAATCATTGACCCATCTCAACTAATAATGCCAGACTTGAGTTTTGTTCATATGTATACGTTGCCTCATCATTTCGTGCATTAAGCATGATAAAACATCATATAGTCCGTCTTCTTTCTTTTTTAGCCTTCAGCACTAGTTTTGAAAAGCTAGGGTCTATCTACTATTTTTTGGCTTAATGTGACACAGTAAAACATTCATTTTTTAACGTTCATAGCTTCTGTCATCCAGAATGTCGTGCGGGCATAGGCAATGTGTTTTGGTCGAATATTCATCTTACTTTGCTATGGTCAAAGACACATACATAGTCTTTTATGTTCGCTTCACATGCACGTAGACGTAGCTTATAATTTCACAAATTATTCATCACCACAACCGTTAATAGTGGGACCTTCTGTTATCTAGATCAGACAGTTGGACGGATGGTTATTTACATAGACATTGACCGTGTGTTTAGACGCGGTTGTGCCTCCTAACTATCGTCTTCCTAATAATACCTGTTATCTAGACTTAAAGAGATATATTTTCTGCCTCCGTATACCCGCATTACTGGTAGCATTTGCTTTCTCTCTGTCACAAGAAAACAACCTGGCCTGCGACAGTGGATGAAAATGGGTCAGTGCGAATTTCATTTATTTATTTTTTCTATTTATCAGCTTATTAAGTTCACCTCTAGGATAATATATTGTAAATCTTGTAAGTGTATTTTTATTTCACTTTTGATAAAGTTATGATTGAATTGATGTTTCCTAATTTTAATTATGAGATTCCGTTAATCATACATTTGAAAGGATTATTTTACGCGTTCTTGTTTTATAAATAAGATTCGATGATTAAAAAAATTCTCGTGTGCGGGATCAGGTCTGAGCAATTATAAAAACACATCCTTAACCACAATTCCTATGATTTCAGCTTCAACGATGATATTTGGCGAGTGCAGTCTACCGACGAACATCCCGCCGTATTCGCCTGCCGGTGTGGGGCCCGTTTTGTGGTGGATCGAAGCTTGGGCACTGCACCTACAATCCATTCTTTTTGCTCTTTACGACCTTGGCGTTCCGCTGCATGTGTCCTTCTGGCACCGTGCCAGCATATGTGACTGCTGACAACGTGACGTGTACCTTGAGTAAGTGGGCTTTGGTGTCTGTCTCACCATCAATGTAATGTTTAGATTTAAATTAAACTGATGTAAATATAAATATAAATATTGTTCATATTTATGTTGATGATGTTCAACGTATAGCGGTAATGGGGTGCTGAGGGACTTTTTTCTGGCATTGCATGGGCGGATCCAGGCTTATTGGAAGGTGGGTACACGGATGCAAAGCTGATCCTCCCCCCTCCTTGGCGTGGGGTTCGGGGCCCGCTGAAGGGCCCCGAAATTTTTGGCATTTTAGAGGGCGAACGGTGCCATATGGTACAGTTTAGAACTATGATCCAGCTAGTCAAAATTCTAATTTCAAAAGGGACCATTGGAGTGATTTTTTTCAGAAATCGAAGAGGGGAAGTCAGGACTCCCTGACACCCCCAAATTTGCCACAGCATTGCGTGGGCTGAACTAAGAGCCTTGTCGTTAAGTATATTGACTAGATTTGTGTCTGTTTAAAATTTAAAGGTCACTCAGGAAGGTGATGGTGTGGTGTTTTAAGCCAGAGCTTTCGACATCTGGATTCAATACTTAAAAAAAAAAACTATTTTCGGATTCTGCAAAAACGTGTGCGATGACACATTATACACTGATGTATAACAATTATTTTTTGTTTTTGTTATTTTAATTTTGCTTTGGCAGAGGTCTGCACTCAATTGTTAGATGCATATGAAACTTATCATTTAATTTAAAAATAATAAAGCTTACTCAACCATAATACTTATTATAAAACAAATGTAAACCGGAAATTATATTACATTGAAAAAATCAAATGAGACCGGTCTTAAATCGAAAAAAATCAAAGAGTCAATGATTAAAATATTGCCCTGATTTTGATGAAAAAGAAAGAACAACAGTGTCTTAGCACACAGACTGGATAAAGTTTTAAAAATGGCTTTGCATTTTTTGAAAGTTAACTTGTACATTTGCATGGTTGAAGTTAAAATTGATTTGCGTGTTTCAGTCAGGGGAACACCGTGTCGGACTGATTATGACTGCAACTCAAGGACAACGGATTGTCTGGGCATCAGTATGGCCAACCCAACATTATTTGAAGGTTCTGGCATCCAAGCACCATTCTCATCGGATTTGACCACATTATTGGCCGTAAGTATACTTTTACTCGGTCGGCTCAGTACCTTGTAGACTTGCCACCTGAAGTATTACTCCAACCACACACACACACACACACACACACACACACACACGTACAGTATATCGGGATTTAAGCACACAGGGCACAGGCTCTGTTCAATCAATATGATCTCTTTACTTAGATGCATGCAAATTTTCACCAGCGGATATTGATACAAAAGTAATGAAATAAACGTTTGTCTTATTTTTTTATTGAAAGAATTGGATCTGAAAAAGAAAAAAAACTGTCAATGCATTTATGATGTACAAAACGAAATGCAAAATGGCTTAGGATGTGTGTTTCAAAAGACGGATTCGTGTTAGCGGAAATGCCAAAAACGCGACTGAATTTCGTTTTATTACTAAAATAACGTGATTGTGCCTCCTTGAGTCTTCAGGATAATGTCAAACTGCAGCTATCTCTATTGTTTTTTTCCTTTGTTTCTAGCCGATTGTATCATTTATCTGCAGCTTCAACGACGGGCTTATAGTGGATGTTACCAGTGTATATACGTGTAATGGCGGAACTGCAGCAACATTGGGCTCGTGTATTGAAGTTAATGGCAGTAAGTGTGATCATATAGTCAGTTTGTTGCATAGTGTTGAGGTGGATCGCACTCAGAGAGAGAGAGAGAGAGAGAGAGAGAGATGCAAAGATACCACAGACAGCATCAAAAAGAGTGGAATGCCATTGTATTTGCCCTCCCACCCCACCCAGTACTACTGCGGAGAATTTCCATGATATACATATGCATATCGTAGTGAAGTTTAGGGAATTATGACAATACACATAAGACACTTCCTGTGAGCATAACGTGATTTTTTCCTAGTTGAATAGATAATGTCGATGTTAAAGGCACTGAAAATCTTTATACTGATGTTGCGTTAGAAAAACTGTCAATTAAAAAAGGAACTGTCAGAAACTACGTGCATTAACTAATGGGACGGTGACATTTTGTCAACGTTGACAACATGTTACAGTAGCCTGTGGAATTTATAATAAAGAATAGCAAAAAGAAAAAAAATAATCAAAAAACTGCTGTACATATACATTTGCATGCAAATATAAAACGTAACAACTTTGTAGTTAATATAACGAGGCATAAATTAATGGTTAACCAAAAATCCGTTGACATTACTAGTCGAAATGTACATTCAGGTTGGCAATTAGGCATATAAATAAGTGTATCAATACGTAAGTAACCAGTAATTGAGAATCTTAAACGACCAGGTAGTCGGTATGTAAATGAAATATTTTTAATTATTAAATATAAATGTGGATATTATTATTATTTTTTTGTTAAACGATTGTTTTAATTGGTGAAATATAATCAGTGGGCCTATACTTTGGTTTATTGGCTAATGTATATGCTGGTTTAACTAAATTATTATTTTATTTTTATTTATTTTATTTTTTCAGTTCCACCGTTGTCAAGCACCAGTTTTGAAGATACCGTCCTTCCACAGGCACTTCAGCGAGATCTCTGGAGAAGTCTGTTAATTCCAAATTACTCCGGGGTAGCTTTCAATCCGGCTTATATTAATTCCTTCTATTCTGTCAACACTTTGGGGAATCTAGTCCCGACATGAACATCGCCCCCTTCCGACTAGAAGGCAATGAAAAACGCGGGGATTGAAAACCTTCATCGCCGATTTTGCCCTTCAAATAATGTAGGCGTCTCCTCTTCTGCAGTACGTCCTATAATTCTACACAAAACTAAGAACGTGCGTCTGTCATCCTGGGAATTATGTTCTGTTAGTCAACTGTTATGTCGTTATTGTTGTGCTTAATATATGAATGTATACTGTATTCATATGGTGACCTTATAAAGGGAGCAAGGTGAATATCTTTTCCCCCTCTGGACTCCTTCATCCACCTACCCCAATACCGTTCCTTGAAATGACCTCCTACACGACGTGGTGATGGTAGTGTGCTGTTCAGATACCTAGCGTCGGGAAGCATTTATTGCGTTTTTGTTTGCTTATCCATATATTGTTGTCACCATATACATTTATTTTCCTAAAATCAAATTATATCTGCAATCTATAGTAAGCTTTAGAAATTACAAATAAAGATTTTGTCATCTGAAACATGATGCGAATCAAACTCCACTTCACATAAACCCCCTTGGCTCCGACAGTCACTACTCCACAGTCGTATTTACCTTGCTCACGTCACAGCGGAACACTGGGTATATACTGCCTTCATTTAGTATGTATATTTATTCCGATGAGGCATCCACCCTACTGTGCAATCTGCAGTAAATATCAGTTCATGAACTTTCATCATCTAAGATACGTCCATTACAGTTGTTGATGACACATAATTATTTCTCATATGATTTTTAAATTACCTCGTTAATGCAGTTAATGAAATGTTCTTATCTTTGTCGAGTTAAAGGAAGAAGGATATGTTATATATCACATACATATACGTGTACTGTATATATACCTGGCAGACAAAATTGCATGTTGTTTTAAGAAGTTATATGGTACAGCCATACTGTTATATGTCACATAAATCCACCCAACAATCAATAACTTGACCGAATTACTAGTACATAATTGGCATAATTGTATTATAGAGTATAATGCAATAATGAACTTTACCACTCACCATACTAACGAACTTTTCTAAGTTTCTTCCAAGCGAGTGTTGACTTTTATAACGTTTAGAAGAAGCAAACGTTTAATCGAGGATT